AAAATGACAAATAAATAATAAAGAACTAAGAAAATGATATTTTTTTAACATGAAACTTAATTTGTTAAATATGTCTAGAAATAAGTATCATTAATTTATTTCGGACAAAGTATGGGAATCATTTTGTTTATAAGTAAATAAACATAAATAAATATCATTAATTCTAAAGAACTTTATCATAAATTTTTATTATAAGAATTCGAATTTTATAGCGATACACGAATTGATTTATAAATTTTGAATTCAGGGGAAGGTTTGTAGGTCGAAAAAGCCAGAAGCAACCGAACTCACTCTTGGATCGAGTCACCTTGACTCGACCAGAATGGGGGGACTAGATGATATGCGATAACCGTACCAGGTCGACTAGACCGCAAAGACAACCTAACCAAACTGGACCGGACCGAACATCAGGTTGAATGGAGAATGAAGACTCTACAGGTAGAGAGACCCTTAGGTCAAATATGACATCGGTGATGCGGAGGATTCCTTCAAGTCAAAGGTAGGTTCTTGGAATTGCCTGGTGGAATTTCAACCTGAAAGAGTACCTGGTCGAAGGATCAACCAGATAAAGGTAACAGTGGAGCTCGACATTTACAACACTTCAACTCAAAGTAATCAGGATCAGGCGCACGATTAGACCGTCTAGAAAGGAGGACTGAATGATAAGAAAAAATCTTAGGGGGATTAAACCCCCACATGAGCAGGGCCAGGTGGCATTACCTGATTGGTCCACGCCTCATAACCGTCTCTGACAACCGTGGCAACTCGGGCAGTTGGGGCAGCTTGCGCGCTTGTTGTAACACCTCGCCTACTTACTACTGGACTTATGAAAATCAGAGTAAAATTTTTCTCTTTAATTTCGAAAACACTTACTTATTTTTTGAAAACTCTTCAACTTACTTGCGAGATGCTACTTTACTTACTTTCTTGCTTACTTACTTTCTGAAAAACGGTTTTTCGTACAACTGACTTAAGAAACTTCGCCTAAGGTGCTCACTTAGGGCTTTGGGGTACGCTCACCCAACTAGCTTAACCTCTTTCTTTTCTTTATGTTGTTTTAAGGAAAAATCCATTTTTCTTTACCTTCTCTTTTCACAGTCAATAAACAAACCGGTTTAAAGGCGCCATGCTTTTACTGGAAGTGAAAATATACATATTTCATGCATAGCTCATGTCATAGTTTGAAAAGAACGGAAGCTAAACAAAGTTCGCAAACATGTTCAAAAGTCATATAACATCATATTCATTCAACAAATGACTTCTAACTCTGGACCACCACCACTATCACCACCACCGCCGCCGCCACTCACGCGCTACACTGGACTCCACTCACTGCAAAAATACTATACTCCGCAGAATCTGGCACTGAATACACATCAACCATAATAACAAACCATGATATCGGCATATATATAAAATAAACTGTACTACTCATACTGCAGACTCCCGAACGTCTGGCCGGTAATCATGTAATCACATTCTTTGGGTTGTCTCCCACAGAAACCTAGGGTGGAAAACCTTCCACTCATCCAGGCGATCGACCTAGCGCGGGAAACCATCCGCCTTCCAGGTCGTAACTAACTAGACCTAGGACGGGAATCTCTCGTCCATCCAGGTCACAATCTACTTACACACATACCTCAGACATGATAAACGATTGTAGGCAATGAAACACCCAGTACGGGGTCCCCACCTGATAGACTGATAACGCAAGTGTTGGAAGGATGGATGCATAGCTAGCAGGGGTTCGATTCTCCTGAAGTTTCAAAATATTAAAGCAACTATATTCGAAGTCTTTTGCTCAACTTGTAATACTTGTTCTTTACTTTCTTGAATTTATTATTTTAATTAATAAACTTTTCATCTCTTCTTTACTTACTTGTTCTTACATGGTTGTTCATCTCTTCTTTACTTACTTGTTCTTGCATGGCTGTTCACTTGCTCGACTTAACTTTATTTTTAATCGTATCTTCTTAACTCCATTTCTCAACGGCTTGGCGAGAATAATTTAATTAACGTGCTAAGTTACTTAATTTCTATCTCGAGTTGTCTAAGGTTCTCGAATAATATTTCTAAGTCTGAAACTACTCTTTCTGATTTAAACTTGATTGACTCGGTTTGGAACTTATAATGTCCCAGCTCATGCTCGAACTGGACTCGAAATGCCCGGAGACTGTCCCGGACCAGTTCGGTGATTGGACTGACGCCTTGCTCGTGAACCGATTGGTCATTCGTTGGCTCGGGGAAGCCGGGCTCGACCGCGATCATGGTCAGCTGGGCGCTGCAATACTTGGCACGCGCAGTCCCAGCTGGGCACGGCCTCGCCGGTGCACGGGCATGGGTCCTAGGTATTGTGACGCAGCTAGCAAGAAGTGCGGCGGGTCGCTGGCGCGGGGGCGCGCTGGACCGCGCGAGACCGGCTGGCAGGTGTGTGCGGGCACGGAGCAGGACACAAGGCACGACTGGCAGATGCGCACGAGTGCTGGGCAGAGCAAAAAGGTACGGCGAGGTCAGACTCGGTGTAGGGCACGCCTTCGGCCTCGGCACGACTGCGATAGGGGCGCACGCGGTGGTGCATGCTGGGACGGTGTTGGACGCGGACGAAGTCGTGGGCACAATGCTGAGCGTTGCGGGCGCGCGCTAGTAGTGCGTGCCGGGTGTTGCGGGTGTTCTGCACCTGCGAGGCACACTGGCCTCGGCAACGCGTGCGCTGGCACATTAGCGTGCGGCTGCGGCCTTGGTCGGCGACTTTTTCCGGCAATCCATCTCTCACTTTTTTTCTAAGTATGTCGAGTCCATCTAGGTTCGGGAAATTATTCACGTATTTTAAATTTACTCGACACCTAAGATCAAGTCGATCTAGGGTTCTAGTTCTCTGAGCAACCTAACTCATTTCAAGCTGAAACTTTAGAAATGAACTTATGGGGATTTTAGACTAGGAAATTTCAGCAAGAACACATTCGTACATGGCCTCCAAAATTTACAAATTTTAGCCAAAGTACCGATTTTAGATACCCTATCAAATTACCTCCAAAAATCCTCAAATTTTAAACATAACCTCAGCATAATATCTAAGAATTTTAGGCCAAAGATCTCAACAAGTTCTTGCACATAACATAAATTTCATGAAATTGCCGATTTAGATCTAGATCTCGATTTTTAGTTCACCTAGCAAAAACACTCCGAAAATCCTAAAATTTTAACCTCAACCTCTACGCATTATTTCAGAATTTTGAGAAATTAAATTAAATTTTCAGAACTTGTATAAATTCTAGATCTCTTATTTCTTCTTCATTTTTCTTGTTTTCTTAATTTTTAAAACCTTTATAAATCATTTCTAAGCCAGAGGAGGGGTTTTTTGTGCGCCTACCTTCTTCGGGACTCAAAAAAGAAAAATGAAAGGTGATCGGCAATTCGATCGTGCGGTGCTAGCGTGCGGGTGGCTCGGCTTCCTTGGATGCGTGCGCGACGGCTGAGGCGCCTTCACGTCGTCCTTGGGTGTGCTGCAGCGGCTGGAAGCTCCGGGCGTGTGTTTCGTGGCTTGCTTGGGCTCGGATGTGCGTGTGGGAGCTCGGGTGGACTCGCCGAGGCATGCTCGGAATTTGGAAGGAGTAGCCGGATTTTTATAACTAAGGCTAGGACTTGGGGAATTTTGTAATGTTTCTTACTTAGGACATTTTGTGAGAATCTCTTTCTTAGGGTTTAGTGTGTGGTTGAAAAATGAATACCTAATGGTGAGGTCTTCTTTTATATACGAAGGGTTGGGGGACAAGGGTACAAAAGTTGTTTGTGCTCTTCCCTTTTGACAAGTCTTATGTCCCTCGAAGGACAAGCATGGTAGTTGAGGCCTTAATTGCCAATTCAAATTAGAATCTTGGAGAACAAGCCCCAAACCCTAATGTATTATGACTTAGGCCATTTGGCATTTGGGCCTAGTGTCGGTTGGGCCTCGAGATGTTGGGCCGTGTGATAGGCTCGGCCATTGGGCTCGTTGCCAGGAACATTGGCCGCGAGGCGCGGGTAGAGCGCTCTATGCGTGCGGCGTGCTTGGGCTGTGCGACTTACTTGTCTTGGGCCTCGGCATTTATTCTTATTTTCTCGATTTTTCTTGGGCTTGTTTCGGATTAAAAATGGCCAAGTTCACGGCCATTTTCGTAAGGTAAATGGGACGGGTACTTAGGCTAAAATTATTTCGGTTTCGGAATAAAAGTCGAACAGCTCCTCCTTGGCTTAGACTTAGGATTTATTAATTAGATTAAATGCTTATAATAATAAATGTAATGCCTTGAATTTAAATTTTTAGGACTTGAAATAATTAAAACTTGCTATCTCTTAGAACTAAAGTCGAGCTCATATAGATAAAAGGATAGGGGCGTTACACCTGCAGTCGAGACAGCTCACGCGCCCGACTTGAGCAACAAAGTATCATCTCCCTATATAAGGGAATGAGGTATGCCTTGAATAACATTACATTCCATATACACTCATACAAACTGTACTTCATATTTTTCAAGTGCTAACTTAAGCTTCGGAGGCTTTTCACCGAAAACCCTCTCCGGTGTGAGAGTTCTACAGGTCAAAAAGACGTTCAACCGGCGGTCAAGCTAGAGATTCAGCTCTTTCAAGCCGGTTGGAGTTCGTTTTGATACCTATTTCTATATTAGTGAGGTTGAGAAATTACATGGAATTCAAACACTACTCCACAATAATCTTATTTCATGTTAATGTACAGTTCTCAATTTACATATGATGATGAATAATTTTATTTTGAATTAATATACTATAAACATGAAATCCAATAATTTTAGTGGCAATTTTAATTTTATTTATCCTACATCTAATATTTATTTATAATATTAAATTTTAATTTTAATATGGACTAGTTATTCATAAAGGAAATAAAAAAGTTTAATTGGTTAGAATAGCAAAAATTAGCTTTTATTTTCATTAATTTATCTTTTGGAGCAGACCTAAAATTATGTTTAGAAGTGGGCCACTTCCTATGGGAACCTAGGACCACAGATAGATAAATACAGCTCCTTTGCTTCTGTTACCCATTGATTGTGGCGCCAGCAGGCAACCAGGACCACAAGTAGACATGAGCGTTCCGGACATACACGTGGCCAGGAGGCGTGCTTTTGTGGTCCCCACTTGTGGGCCGCAATTACACTAGCCCGCCACGTGGCGTGAAGAAGTCCCAGTTTTCCGGGACTGCCGGACTCTAGTCCCCACCTTATCTCGCCGCCGTCTAATTATTATCTCTGAAAGTTAATACTAACGGTTATTGTGTTTTTCGTTGGAACAGAAAAATACTAAAAAATAAGATGGTTGTTTGGGATTTATAAAAAATAAGATGGTTGTTTGATACACATCTCGGGACATGTGAAAATAAATTGTCCTTCAAACAATAAGATGGTTGTTTGAGATTTAATAAAAATTAAGATGGTTGTTTGATATAAATCTCGGGACATCGTTAAAATAAACTGTCCTTCAAAACAGATTCGTCTGGTATGAATATATGTTTTCTATGATACAACGACAAAATCTAATAAAATCCAATAAATTAAAATTATATCTAGACTAAAACTCTACAAAAGAAAAATTGAGCAACATGCCTTTAGCAATTCTTTTCTTTTCTTTCTTTCGTGTGTTCTCTTTTCAATACATTAAGTAATGGATGACTCCATAAGAAAACCATTTAATAGTTCCATAGAATTTCTGAGTCTAATTATATAGACCTAAGATAAGCCACATCAATTAACTAATTCATCTATCATTATATAAAAAGAATAACCTTTTTACAAATTTAGAAACTTTTTCCCGCCAAAATCATTAAATATATCCTATATATAGTAATTGTTGGACAAATCTGAATAGGCAAAAAAATTCGCTCATTAATTGTGTAAAGATTTGTTTCTCTTTTTCCTGTTTCTTAGTTTATCGTTTTAACAATAAATATTTATTTTTCTTTTTTCTATTTTTAGTATAAATCTACACGAGCTTATCTCTTCTGTTACAAAATCTCATTGCATACGATCTTACGTGTTTAAAAAATCACATCTCTTATCTATACAGAATTGAAAAAATAAAATAAAATAGAAATCAATTCATAATTACTACTAGAAATCCATTATCTTTAAAAAGAAAAAATAAAATTAAATTAGAAACTAATTCATAATTACTACTAGAAATCCATTATCTTTAAAAAGAAAAAATAAAATAAAATTAGAAACTAATTCATAATTACTACTAGAAATTCATTATCTACTTTAAGAAGCTAATTTTCATCAATCTAATTACTAATATTTTTACAAATATTCTAAGCTAACCACACAAAAAAGTATAATAATAATTTTGAAATGGTGTGTAATCAATTTTTTTTTATATTCTCTTATACAAAATCATTTTACATTGTTTGACTCCGAATCTTTAATTTATAATTATTAAGTATTGTTTATCCTCCTCTTTTATTTATAATTATTTTTTTTTCTTCCTCTTTTTAAATACAATCAATAGTAGTTTTCACTTCCGCCATTGACTCAAACTCGAGGTCTATTTATAATATTGTTAATTTAATATTGTTCCCGTGCATCGCACGGGGTACACACTAGTTTAATTCAAAACTTACTAAAATTAAGTTAAAGATTCTTGTAACATGAAAACAAGTTACAAGTTTTAAGGTGGAAGACATACGGTTTCAAACTCTAATCATTTTATTACAATTTCATTCAATAAATTTTTTGCAACAATCTCCTACATTAATGAAATTAAAAAATAATGTTATGATCCAATAGTTGAAACATATATAGGATAGGTAGGCGTTATCCGTTGAACATTCTCTTGTGAAAGCACATTGATTTTATTCGCTGACAAATAGACGCGATGTCTTTGAATTGTTCTATATTTTGTGTAAACGTTGAATATATTTCACACAAGATTCTCCCTAACAAATCCAATTTCTCATTATTATGTCTATTGATGGCCTTGGACATAGCCTGGTTATGTTAGAATGTTTAAGAATTGAACCTGACCCAATTCTCTTGGAAGCCGCCTCACTTATCTCTCACATTCGTGATTCTTAAGTAAAAGTAACTCGTATTACCTTCACATACAAGAATTATTAAAAGCCAAATGCTTAACCTACTCACCACGGGTAGCGCTGAAACAAACCGAGCGGCTCGCGAGCACTTGAGTCAAAGCTCGACTCGAGCTCGAGTTTGATCAAACTCGAGTCGAGCTCGAGCGGCTCCAGCACGGACTCGAGTCGAGCTCGAGCGGCTCCAGCACGGACTCGAGTCGAGCTCGAGCGGCTCCAGCACGGACTCGAGTCGAGCTCGAGCCCATATTTTGCATTGTCGAGCGGCTCGAGATATATGTAAAGTTACTAAAATACCCTTATATATATTAGCATAGGTGTTTAATGGTAATTTTACTTTTCCAATTAAATTTTTTCGAGCCCAACTCAAGCCGAGCTCAAGCATTTTGATTCCGACTCGAGCTCGAGCTATTGTAATTTTTTATCGAGTCGAGCTCGAGCTCGAGCAGCTAAAAAAAAAAAATCAATCCTGCTCGATAAGGTCAATGCTCGACTCGGCTCGACTCGTTTGCAACCCTAACTACGGGTATCACTGTTTAAAGAATGGGCAATGGATAATGTCCCATAGTGATCACAAGAGTCTTTCTACAGTTAGGTTGTCCCTTTGAGCCAAGTTCTTGGGATCTCCCGTCAACAATATAGGGTTTTCATTGTATCAACTCATTTCTAGAGGTTTAAGTCACATTCCTCTCAAAGGATTAGCAACCAGCTCTTTATTTAGTGTTGGAAAAATCAGTTATCTTTTGACTTCATATAGTCAGTGTTGGAAAAATCAGTTATAAAACTTGAATTCGACTCGGTTTTGACTGAATTTTTTATGGCCAAATATTTAATTCAGGTTGAATTAAATTATGTAGAAAAATTGTACGTTCCGATTAGATACTCGTGGTATATTTATTTTCTTAAAATTGATTTTCAATGAGTGAGAAATAAATCATTAAAGTTAGCCATAAATGGGTACGTAAAATGATGGTTGTGGAATTCGAATGGTCAAAAGTCCTTCCCACATTGGACTCATAAATTAGATTAACTCTTTTTATTATAATAAAGAGAGTTTGAGAGGTCACAGTAACAAAATGCTATGCACCAATGTTAGTGTTGGCTTCAGCCACACGCGTCTAATGGTAGATTATTCAACGGGGTGGAATATAAATTCCAACAAAAATTGCATATTCCAACATAAATTCCTACGATAAAAAACTGTTGAAAAAATAGTCGTTGGAATCATCAATTTTCATCTAAAATTTCAATGGAAAACTCATTTCAACGGAATATTTTCGTTGGAATCATTTCCACGTAAGTTATACCATTGAAATATCCGTTGAAATTTCTATTAAAATATATTACCATAGGATTTTCCATTGGAATATAACTCTTTTTTTTTTTTAGTTACCACTCTTACATTTAAATAACCTCATAACTGTATAAAATCTATACAGTTCTACATCCTCAAATAGACAAAAAGGTAATACTCATAAATTTAACCTTACAATCTGTCACTCACAATTCAACTTCACATCACTAAATTAATGATAAATGAATTAATGTTCCCAAGGGCCCGAAGTTGGTACTGGTAACCATCCATCAACATTAAATAATTAATATGGAAGGCAAACTAGCTTTATAATTTATCTCATAGCACAATTTAACCTTTTGACTATGATGTAGAGAATCGTACGAGTAGGACGATATTAATGAAATCACAATCTCAAGAACATCAAAACATGATATCAAATCATCTTTTAATTTAATAATTCATAATCAACCACCTAAAATAATATATGGGGAGTCTCATAAACCCTACTCCTTAATTTGTTGTACAAGCCAAGATAAATAAAAACATATAATAATAATAATAATCAATGCTAATAATAATAATAATAATAATAATAATAATAATAATAATAATAATAATAATAATCTACACCATTCTCCCCCAGTTCGGAAGGCTTCACCCTCGAAGCCGACACACTCTCGTGGTTGGTGTGTGGAAGCGAACTCATGGTATTAATCCCCGTCGTTTCCTCCTGTCGAACATGAAGGTTGAACGACGTTGTGATCTACTTTGGCTAGCCACTGCTCGAATGACACTTCTCCTCTCCTCAACTTGAGTTACCCGGTCTACCCAAACAAATACTTCGGCATTATCGTCAACAATGGCAACATCACACTTTCCCTCATGAAACTGTTTCAACATTTTAAACCGCGTATCAAACTCATCTTCTTCAGGTTTCTTAAATCCAGATGCAACACCACCTTCAAGAGTTATGAAACATGGTCTAAAAGATGACAAAAAATTGTCAGACTCGTGCCCTTGGAATTCTCTATACTGCACAACACGGCCACCAAAAAATGCATCGAGTTCAAGGTTTGGATAGCAGTAGTTACAGCTTTATCCTCCAACCCTGGAGGCTCCTCGTCGAAAATCGGTGGGCCATCGTACAATGGCCCGTCAACTTGCTCAGTGTCGAATTCGGGGATGTCAACGCAAAATGGGCCTTTCCATTGACCATATCCGCGATCAAGTCCCCAATCGCATTGGGCACGATATCCGTCGGCAAAGGCAGCCTTCTCGCGCATGCCTCTGTCATCGCGTTGATCGTCGCCATCCACGAAGACCGGTCCCCGTCGCCGCATGACACGGCCGCCGTATGAAGCGAAGGGGTCAGCCTCGACGTGCGAGGGTGAAAATCGTAGAAGGGATTCACCTTAGAGACTATTTCCTCGCCGGACGGTGGTAGTGAAGATCTTCGGCGGGGCGCCCCGCCTGGACCACGACCTCCGCGAATTCACCCGTGCACGCCTCGGTTGCCGGCGTCACGGTTGCTTGTCCCGAACCATGGTACGAATTGTTAGACGTATGTCCTTGATCTCCGCGGACAGATCTGCAATCTGACGACCCATCATCTCGAGCTGGCTGCCAAACCACTAGGTCCAGCGGCTCAGGTTGTAGATGGCAACGACACGCCTATTGTTTGCAAAATCTTGTCTTCGCGACAGCATCGTGAGTCGTGTTGACTTATGATTCCAATTGATGTAGGGAAGCGTACGAGTGGGACGATATTAATGATATCGCAATCTCAAGAACATCAAAACATGAGATCAAATCATCTTTTCATTTAATAATTCATAATCAATAACCTAAAATAATATATGGGGAGTCTCATAAACCCTACTCCTTAACTTGTCGTTCAAGCCAAGATAAAGAAAAACAAATAATAATAATAATCAATGCTAATAATAATAACTAGTACGACACCCGTGTATTACACGGGTGTTGAATTATAGAGCTTTTGTAAAAAATATTAAATTTTTTATTTTTTAAAAAACTAAAATAATTTAAGTTTATATAAAACATTACTTTGGGTTTTAATTAAATTGTCAAATTATATTTTTTTAATCATAATAGTTAAACACCCGTATATTAAATGAAATGTCAACCCGTGTTGAATTTTTTTACTTATATCATATAAAAATATCGATATTATTGACCATTACATAAGTACAAAAATATATATCTTAAATAAATAGAAATAGTATGGTGATATGTATATGCATAAGTGTAGAATATGTATATTTAACATTAGCAAAATAGATAATTTTTTTACTTAATTAGATGTCTAATACATCAAGTGTCGTATCAGTCGTGCTTCACAATTTTTTAACTTTATATGTAATTTTAGAATTTCTATAAAAAATTATTTATTTTTATTACATTGACAACATACCAATTGGATTTGAAATAAATATCATTTTTAAAAGAATACATACCAATTTCTATTACTTTATAATATAATTTATAGTTTTATTTAATATAAATTAATTTAGTTTGATAAATAAATTTAAATTTTATTTATAAAGATATATATTACTTTTTTGTATTATATATATATATATAGTAAAATACAACCGGACTTCATAATATCAATTCAAATGCAACACACTAATTAAGATTTTTTCAAATTGATAAATAATGTTATTATTAATATAAAGATAAATATAATTTATTTATTTTATATATATATAATATGGATGTCAAATAGAAGCTCATGAAAAGATGATTAATTTGATATATTATATATGTGAAACCGATAAGAAATACAAAAGTTATTAACTTTTAAAATATATTTGCAATTCAATAGTTATAATAGAAAATGATATTAAGATACAATTAATACAAATATTAATTTATATCCAAGCCTAACTCCAAAGCATGATTATTTATAGGATTCTGAAGCATGAAAATTTGCCACATAGGCTCGCATTCTGAAATTATATAGAGAGGGAATAATAATAATAATAATAATAATAATAATAATAATATTCTACACCAGACTATCTGATAATATTATTCATGTGATGTATGTATGCATATATAATTATAGACTATTTAATTAATGTTCTCACGTAAACATTAATTTGTTATGATATAATTTTTATATTTTTTTAGTCTTATTAATTGGTAATAATTGGTAATGATCCCTTCAATTTATAAAAAATACGTTATTCACTATATTTTATGCAATTTATGCAGTTATTTATGTATAAATAAGATAATTTTGTACTTATATTGTTCATCTTTATTAATAACTAAATTTAAAATGTGATATGCAAATTATCCAATTTATGTTTTATATATAATATCCACATATATTTATAATTCATGATATTTTACTTGTATATGTGCACGTGCACAAGATCAAATACTAGTCATAATAATTTTATTCTAAAACATAATTATTAATTTGTTGTTTCGACCATATTGTAATTCATTAAATAAACTGCCAAATGTAGTTGAGATGCAGCAAGATAACTCAAAAATGGGCCCTCCTTATGTGGAAGAGACAAACATTTGATTCTTAGAAGGCATGTCCACTGTCTAACAACTGTTGGGTAACCTAATTATATATAGGCCAGTAATGCATGGATTTTTTGCTGCCTTTTATATGATGTAATTACTTGCAAACAATAGCATGAAATGTAATAATGATGATGAATATGAAACGTTGGGGAGACGACAATCAAATTATAAAATGGTTACCATCAACAGCATGAATTGAAATGGGTGTTGTTGTAGTTGGTATAAGTAAATGGAATATATTCCAACTGGTTGTTTAATCTTGATAAATTTAATGTGACTTCATTTGATGGATATATAAATTTGAAGTTAGCAGATTTCATAAATGTGCATGTATTTGAGCTAATTAGGGATATATGTAATTTGAAGTTAGCAGATTTCATAAATGTGCATGTATTTGAGCTAATTAGGGATATATGTAACTAGTACGTATTTCTTGCGATACGCGAGATAGCGATAAATAAATTATTTTCACAGGTTATGTCCGTTTTAAGTCTAAAAAGCAGGGTTATCATCTATTTCACCTCTTTTAATCAGTGTTTTGTCTAAAAAACAATAGGGTTATCATCTATTTTCACCTCTTTAAATCAGCGTTGTTTTTCAGCCATAACATTAAATATGAGCATGCTATGGCTAGCTTGTAAAATAATTAATATATTATCTCACTAACACATTTATACTAATATAAATTTGATTTTGGTATATATATTTATTCTTTGGTATAAGAGAAATAACAGTTTTACTTATTCTTGTTCACCATATAATATTTAATTATTATTTTATTATAATGCCAAAAATTCAATCCCTTCTATAATTAAGATTTTTCTAATTTGCATTATAAGGATTTATAGTTTATTTAGTATACCCTGCAATGAAAATATATTTTACAAGGATTTCATTATAAAAAGAAATCAAAATAAAAAAAATGTAAAAAAAATCATGGATGTCAATAATATACGAAGAAATTATAAAGAACAGTTAATATATTTAAATTTTAATTTTTGACCATTGGAAAAGATATTAATGTATCTGATTTTGAAGAATAATTTATTTTTTATATATAACGAAATAAAGCTTAAGAAAATATTATATTGGCAAAGATTAATTCACCAACTTGATTTCGCCTGATTAATTGGAAGAAAAAATTCTACCTAATCTGTTACAATTTTCTATAAATATAAAGTAATATTTGTGAAAAAAAAATAATATTATGGCTAGAACTTATAATATGTTGTGATATTTATCTTTTACCAAAATATTAACAACATGAATCACGAAAAATCAATCTTGTAATTTATTATAATGGATATAAATAAAATTATTGCAGACATTAATAAAATTATTTAAGGAAAGAATATTTTTGATCATGTCTGATTTGATCTTATTTGAAAACGTGTATATAGAAGCAATTAATGCATATATTTAAAAAAATTCCAAAAAAAGTATGTATTAAATACTTCCAAACTTTTTTACTATTATTTTTAGTAAATGGTTAAAGTCGATTTCGAATCGAAACAATCAAAAATTTAAATGTGAAAAAACCGAAACATAAGGGGATTTTTTACTTCACAAGCATTATTTTAGCCTTTTGTGCTACACTAAATGCAATCTCAAATAAACTATTGTGCATATTGTCTTGCACAATTGTGCATTTCACAATACATATTTAATTTTTATATAAATAATCAATATTGTGCACTTTTCTTCTATTAATGTGCATTTATCACATTTTTATAAATTACAAATTCAACTCAAGTACTAAATTATATTTAATCAAAATTACAGAAATTGCATATAGGTCCTTTGACTTCATCTAATTTCCAAAATAAATCCCTAGGATAAAAATCGCAGTGACGTTCAGAGCACCTCCCCCATCGCCTCCGTCCCGACCACCGAAGAGTTGCCGACTGAAGCAACCATGTATAGCTGTTGGTCTGGCCGTCGCAACCCGAAGGAAACAAACAACGTCAGGCCATGGCTGTAGATGAGCTTATCTGAGCTTTCACGTCCGACCACCGTGAGCGATCGTCTTCCACCTGTCTAACCACCGGTAGCTTCTTCAGACACTAGAGATCTCGTTTTTGTTACCCAGGATTTCTGACGTCGAGCAGCTGTGTGGGAATTCCGACTCGTGTATCAATGGTCGATTTTGGCGTGGAGGTCGTGGTTTCGTTTTTCTCGGCAGGAACTGATTAGCAGATGTTTGTTGTCCCCGTCGTGGTGGAGAAGAAGTTGCAAGTTGGTGGCGACAACACCTTCGAGAGCGACAGCGAGTGGTGGTGCACTCGCGAACGGATGACCATCGAATTATCGGATGTGATGGCTAGACGGAAGCTACTGCTTGCCGGTGTCAGTGGTGCGCGCCGGTCGCTGGGCTACTAACAGAGGGCGTCAGATTCATCGAAGACAGACGCCGGGTTAGAATGTTGGACCTACACATTAGGTTTGGTTTATGGTGATGTGTAAATTGTCTAAAATACTCTTAATGAGTGGACAATTTTGGTCTTTTTTTAATTCGCTGGATGATCCAATTCGATGGCTAAAATTTATTCTGATTTCTTTCACTGAGAAACCACTAACTACGTTTGCAATTCAACTTTCCATGGACTCCCATGGAATTTGAAGTGAAGTAATTACAACACTCTTTTTCACAGTGCACAAAAAAATGGTACAACTACAAAACAAGCACTATAAATATGTATCCTTTTCTCTCCTCTCACGGCCCCCCTCTCTCTCCCCCTCTCTCTATAAACTGTTCAATCCCAAACTTCCCAATTTTCCTGTTGTGTTATCACACACACAAAGTCACACAAACACATACAGAAAATATGCTTCCCTACCAAATAATGGACCAGTTTGTATACTATTTTGTTCTTTGTTTTATACTTTCTTGAGCAGCTTATGCTGCTTTTTGGTTGGTGCTATTAAAATTTCAATAAAATTTGAATTTTTTATTTCTCAATCTCTCATCGTCTGTTGTCGTTGACGTTCAGCACCCAACCAAGAACACACCGCCTGTACATGAACCTCACCACGACCCGTAATTTTTCCAAATAAATTATTATCCATAAAGAAAAAGGTACCCTATTTTTCTGCCTACTAATGAATTATTTCAACTGATTTGCTTCTGAACTTCTCCTCTCCCCCTCCATTATAGAAGAGAGAGAAATTAATATCCGAAAAAAATACCAAAATTATCAGTATTTATCGTCGTCACATCAAAACCCCCAATGGCGTTCCCCAACCATTTGTCCCAGGAAATGGGCCTCCACCATTTCGCCGACCACCACCTGCCGGAAAACACCCCCGTCTTCCGGGGGGACGTCCTTCCCGAGCAGCTCGCTCCCGACGGGAAACCCCACCGCCCGCCGCCCGCCGCCTGGCTCAGCAGCGCCAATTTCCTCAACCTTCACACCGACGCCGACTCCTCCTCCTCGCCGGCCGCGGCCGCCGCCGCGGGCAGCCAGTGGCTCTCGCGCCCGATCCTGCAGAGGAGCGGCGGCGGCGTCGGGGAGGACGTCGTCCAGGTCTCGGGCGACTCGATGATGGCCGCCGCGATTTCCCACGAGTCCGCCGATTTGAACAACGGCGGCAGCGAGAGCGGCGGCGGGAGGCCGGCGGAGGGAGCGGTTGACTGGCGGAGCGCGAGATGCAAGGCGGACATCCTGGCCCACCCGCTATACGAGCAGCTCCTGTCGGCGCACGTGGCGTGCCTGAGGATTGCCACGCCGGTGGATCAGCTGCCGAGGATCGATGCCCAGCTGGCACAGGCGCAGCAGGTGGTGGAGAAGTACGCGGCCCTTGGGCGCGGGAATCTAGGCGAAGACAAGGAGCTTGACCAGTTTATGGTGAGAGCTTTTTTCTGTATTTTTTGTGTTCGTTGGGTCCATTATTTATTGGCTGGTGATGTTTTGATGGATTTGCATTTGCAGAGCTATACTGATAATCATGAGTCATATTATTGTACTTTTGAGTTTGATCCTTTAATGCTCTTTCAGATCTGAATTTACTCTTCTGCATTTAAAATCTCCTTTGTCCTGTTATCATCATTCATTATTTGTTTGTCAGACTCTCTTTTGCTCTATGGTGCATATTTTTATATGCAAGGCTCTGGTTCATTATCTTCAAATGGGACGTAATCAATTGGGTTGCAAAGCTTATAGGATCAATCAATTTCAATAATCCGGTGGCTCAAAAAAATTAAGTAAACCGATTTGATGATTGGCTCCAAAGTATGTGATACTGAGTTTCTACAAGTTCCAAGGATCGATTGTATCGCCTGCAAAGATTATTGTGGCAACCATTTTTCTCTTAATTGGCAATAGGAAAATTGTTCCTACTTTGTCAATCTAACCAAACATGAAAACGAATTATGATCATAATTGTCATTCAGTTCTAGACCTAGTAGCCTTTATCCTGGTTATATTGGCTTGTTGTTGGTTAATCATGGATTCATGATTCTTTTTGTTATTACCTTTTTTTTTTCATTTTCCACTTGTAAGAGGCTCTTAAGTCTTAACATAATCATTCACCTTCTGTTTATTTTCAGACGCATTATGTCCTATTGCTATGTTCATTCAAAGACCAGCTGCAGCAGCATGTACGCGTTCACGCAATGGAAGCAGTTATGGCGTGTTGGGAGATCGAGCAATCTTTACAAAGCTTAACAGGTTTTTTTCATTGCAATGTCCAGCTTCTCCTAAAGTTAATCTTAATTTAATATATGCATATATATAGGATTTGGTTCAATTGGAACCATTTCTTAGCATAGGAAAAATGAGGCCAAATTTTAGCCATTCAAATGAATTTTGATCCAACTTATTAATTAATTAATTAATTAATTAATACAAAAAATGTATAACTATATATATCCCATTGTGCATATGTTAGAAGACATATAGCTGTGCATTCATGCATTTCTAAATGTGCATTGAGATTGTTGGAAATTAGTTGATAATTATAAACATAGTAAATAGAGAAACAAACTTGAACTTCACATTACTGTCATGCTAGTGTGCTCTAATATACTTTTAATCACACACTAACAAATATCTAATTGTGAAATAGTTTTCTGACTTGCAATAGGTTTTCATAACAATTTCAAATTTTAACTCTTAATTATCTTTTCCTTTCTTGTAAAGCAGGAGTTTCGCCAGGAGAAGGGACAGGAGCAACAATGTCAGATGACGAGGATGATCAAGTAGATGATAGTGACGTGCATTTGTTCGATGGAAGCTTTGACGGTGCTGACAGTATGGGATTTGGTCCTTTGATCCCAACAGAGAGTGAAAGATCTTTGATGGAGCGTGTAAGGCAAGAGCTCAAGCATGAACTCAAGAATGTATGTAGCGCCATTTTTCCCTTCATCTAAATTGTAGTTTTGTTTGACAAGTAGGCCCTTTATTCTTTTTCCTACAAATTATCCTTTTTCATGCATATTTTGTTTTTCTCCCCCCTTGCAACAGGGTTACAAGGAGAAAATTGTGGACATTCGAGAGGAGATTTTGCGCAAAAGACGAGCAGGAAAACTCCCAGGTGACACTACCTCAGTCTTGAAAGCCTGGTGGCAGTCTCACTCAAAGTGGCCTTATCCCACAGTATGTTTCAAAAACTCGACTCGACGAAACTATAATAGATTATACTGTTACTAATTAAAATATTTATTCCATTACAAACAACTAATTTGGTAAAGTATTTTGATTTCCTTAATCTGATATTTGATTTCTTAGGAGGAGGACAAGGCGAGATTGGTTCAGGAGACAGGATTGCAACTGAAGCAGATAAACAATTGGTTCATTAATCAAAGGAAGAGGAACTGGCACAGCAATCCTTCTTCGTCAACAGCCTTGAAAAGCAAGCGCAAAAGGTATTCCGAATGTGGATACTTTTTTACTCTCCCTTTGTCTGCTGATTTTCGAAATGGAAACCACCCAATTTTTTACTTGACTAAAAAGTAATGCAGGTGAAAAGAGCAACAACAATCAAGTGTGATACATGTAGCCGTGGGCTGTAATTCCGCTCCAAATGCTGGATACCGTTTTTGGTTTTATGTGTTTAGAACTTGGACTCGGCAGATAAGAGGTCGGTTTTATTCAAAATGTACAAGTGCCAAAAACGAAAGCTTAGGGAGCTGGGTCTTTAGATGTAAGTTGTTCATTTGGATGTTATAAAGTTTATAGTTACATAAATGGGTATGAACATATGTTGTTACATAGATATGTGTCTGGAGACTCATCCTGCTTTTCCTTCTTTCTAATATGTTTCAACATTTGTGAATAAGTGAGGATTAGTATTTAATATACATCTTAGAAACATGTTACCTATCATCTGGTGTTGGGAAATGGCTGCAATGACGTAACAGTAATGTACAGTGCGCTTGGTTTCGAACCGTGTTTTATAAAGTAGCTATGAATTAATTAGAATGTGTGCTACCCTTATGAACGTTTCAAATGCATTAGTAGTGTTTAGAAGAACACAAGCATCCTGATTCAGTTCGTTATGCTAATGTTTCGAATGCATTCGCGTCTGGAAGCGCGCGTAAGACCAAAATGAATAAAACGCTGCAAGGAAACACTCAAATAATCAATCGTTGTCCAAGTTTTGGTCTCGACAACATCAGTCTCGCCAAAAGGCAAAAAAAAAAGATGCAAGGACACCGCGAATCAAAATTTTCATACTGTGGTGCACAAGTTCATATTATGGTTAAGACCCAAATCAACATAACTCAACTAAGATCTCCTTATTTGGAGATACTTCCATAGGAGATGCAACTTCCTTATCACTCTTACTGCCATTGCTGTTATTGTTGCTGCTGTTGTTGTTGTTCCTTACGGTCCTCTGCTCGCCTACCGATCTCATCTCCTTCACTCCCACCGACAATGCCTCGAATCCCCTCCTCAGCTCACTTGGCCTTGGAGATGGCGGCGGCCGGTGGCTACTGAACCCCGGCGGCGGTGTCCCTGGGGGCGAGAGCGGCAGTCTCGCAGAAAAACTGACGGCCGGCCAGTCGGAGTCGGAAGGTGAAGAACCCATGTTGTCGTCGTCAAAATTTAGTGCGTAGCTTAGGGGGTCATAGCTGAAGTCAGCCGACGAGTGGCGGCGGTGGCGAGAGGAGAAGAATCTGCGGCCGCCGCCGCCAGACGGCCTGCCCTTGGCCTCCGGCAAGTCGCCGGATTTTGGCTTGAACCACGCGCACGAGAAGGACGATTCGTCCACGGTGGCTCGCCGGCGGTGTCGGGGACCGGCGCCGTTGAAGCAACACGAGATGTTGCCGACGACCGAGGATTTCTTGCGCTGGCCGGCAAGCGTCTCCCGGTCGTCGTCCGCCATATTATTATTATTGTTTGTGGAGTGATTTTGATTGAATGGAAGTTGTCAACTATGGAGAATGCTTGGGTAATGAATATGAATGAATGTCTGATTGGGTATGAAAGATTGTTGCATGGGAGATCATGAGTTTATATAATGTTACTAATAATAGTAAGGAGGAAATGAATTGGGGAGTTGGTTGACGGTGGATTTGCACTTCACTTGTATGTGTGTGCGCGCTTGACTTGCGGAGAGGCTGTTTATGGGATTGTAGGGGAGTTGGGGCAAATGAGCGGGTCCAAATCAGGTGAGGGGTATCTTGAAGATGCTGACCAGAGGATTTTCGGGGCGAGTCCACCGTAAAGTCTGCAACTGTTATCATTCTCTTGACTGAAAGACTCGTGTGGGATTGGGTTGGCATCTACTACTACTACACAAAAAATTATCATATTCCAATAAGAAATCCTACTATAGTTTATTCCAACGGTTTTTTCCCTTAAAACTTTTTGTTGGAGTATACAATTTATGTTGGAATTTTTATTTTCACATATTTCAATTGTTGGAAAATCTACTGTTGGAATCGTCAAAATTCAACGAAAATTCATATGGAAAACTCATTCAACGAAACATTTTTGTTTGAATTCATTAGAAAATTCCAACAGAAATAATAGCATTGGAATATCCATTGGAATGACCGTTGAAATTCTATTAAAATATATTTCCGAGCAATTTTACGTTAAAATTTCATCATTTTCTTGTAGTGCACGTTAAGTCATTCTAGGGTACGTCTTGTACATGTGTCAACATACATAACAATAGTTACTCTTGTTAATGTTGGCATACGATCTTTTTACCCAATTAAAAAATTAAAACAAGAAAATTCATTTTATTTAACTACTAACATGTTCTTACTTAAGAATTTTAATAAAATAAGATTATAAATTATATTATATTTTATTTATAAAAAAGGTATGAGTTGGCACTTCAAATTGAAAACTATATGACATCAAAACATCAAATTGATTAACAGCTATTGTTGCAGATGAAAAGAGAAACAAAATGAAAGTTAACGCAATAAATTTGAACAATAGAGCCGCCGGATGAATTCTTCATCCCGCCGCCACACTCTGCTAAAAATCTAATAAATTCTTCGACGTTTTTCGACTATTGAAAAGTCGGATTGACGATTGGAAGATAGCGTTGGATTTCTTATGGAAATGACTTTCCATATATATATATATATATATATTTTATAATCCAACTGTTGGATCTCTTGTGACATTCAACAAAATTTAATGCACAATTCTTCAATTTCTTCAAAACTTAACAATAATTAATAAAGTTTGAGGTATCATAATTAAATATGTCGTTGGAAAGATCGAGTCGAGCGCTTTGAAACGATATATGATTTCTTGACATCCATCACCAGTAGGGTAGAAATGTCTCGCATATTCAAGGTGCACGAGACCGTCAACATACTTTTTTGTCTTGTACATTAAATATATGGTTGAGATTGATGTTCTGATCAATCTAACAATGAGATGAAGGGGTACCTATTGCCCAGTATGTACGAAATATATTTAACATTAGAAGGTCGCATCTAGATTTATGTTTCATATAAACGCAAATTCTTACATGAATCAAATTAAATATAAATAATATTTTAACACATTTATTTTTTAATATAAAAATAAGAATTTTATTTAATTTTATTCATCATCATAATACTCAATTATTATTTTATTCTAAAACTTATTGTTATATAATGTTATTAGTATTATTTGTAATACTTATATACTGATAAATATTCAGTGTACATTAATATTGTTTATTGACGTAATTATATTAAAAAAATTTAACACATATATTTATTTTTTAATATACTTTCTATCTCTAAGGTGGGATGAGGCTTGCGGCAGCCCACTGGAAGGCGAGTTCTCTCTAGATACATCTATTCAATAAAATTTGAAATTTCTTTCGCCATCTCCTTATCTTATTTTTCGGTCAGGTAAAAATATGGCAAATTGACCGACATTTCTATCAGTTAATGAAAATAATAATTTTTTTTTAATTTTATTCATCATAATACTCAATTATTATTTTATTCTAAAACTTATTGTTATATAATGTTATTATTATTATTTGTAATACTCATAAAAATAGTATTTCTATATATATATATATAATGATAAATATTCAGTGTACATTAATACTATTTATTGACATAATTATGTTAAAAAATATATAAATAAACTAAAATAAATATTGAACGATAAATGCATTCTATTCAATTTTTAAAATTTATCCTATCTCATAATAATTAAAAAATTATATATATGTATGAGTTTATTAGAGTATTATATTAAGCTTAATAAGGAATATTTCAATATTAAAATGCGATAATATTCTATTTTAAAGTATTTGCCTTTATTTTCAATCACAGTCCGATATAAGACATCTTTTATTTTTATGTACAATTTTCATTATGCGATAATATTTTATTTAAATATTTTAAGGATATAAGATTACACACCTTTACGGCATTTTTCATTTTTATGTAGATCAAATAATAGAAAGAATACACATAATATAATATGAGAGTCCTTCCAAACTTTCAAAAGAGTTTGTCGTTACATACATATGGACAAACAAATATTGACTAATTTAAACAACATAACCGATTTGCACCGAATTTTCTAATTTATTCTTTTAAAAGTCATCAAATGTGCTTTGGGCGGGAATTTATGATTTTTTTAAACCTAATATTATTAAAAACCGAAATTTTAAGCTGGATACATATTATTTTAGGTAATTCTTTCACCTTTTTGTATATTAATAGATAGATACTTTTTGGAATTTTATATTAAATTAGTTTTTGACTAATAAATTTAGTTAAATAGCAATTGGAAAGTAATTTTTTTAAACTAAATTTATTGACTTCTCGAAGATTCGGATTGAAAGTTTAAACAACATAATCTTATTTAAAAAGAAAAGATATGAATCACCAACTAACAAATCTATACTTACATAATAAGGTGTACCATTTACTAAATTTAGTAAGTTGAAAAGTCAATGCAATAAATGCATTACTATTTTGAGCAACATAATATAATATCATATCTATACTTATATAAAAGGAGATTCTATTTACTACATTTACTATTCAAAAAAGTCAACTGCATTAAATGTCATTACTATTTTGGTATTATAATATTTTATTTATTTAATTAATTTATTTATTTATTTTATTTTATAAAGGTAAGTATAATAAAAAGATTTTAATAATAAAAAAATCAAATACCAAATAAAAATATACACTTTGACTTATTTGATTATATTTGATATTTGATTATACCAAATATATTCCTATTTAGTATATACATAAATACTTACTAAATTATTTATTTGTTTTATTTGTCAAAGTTAAGTATAGATTTGTTTATATTATCAAATCATAAAAAAATATTAAATCATATTGTAAAAAACAAAAAATCATATAATTTTATAACAATTCTACTACACTATTTAACAATATTTCTTTTTTATTATATAATAAAATAATAATTAAATATTATATGGTGAACAACAATAAGTAAAACTGTTACTTTCTCTTATATCAAGGGATAAATTTATATGCTAAAATTTAATTTTTATTAGTATAAATGTTTTAGTGAGATCATATATTAATTATTTTACAAGCTAGCCCTAACATGCTCATATTTAATGTTTTAAAAGATGTAGAAAAAAACTTATAATAACTCTATTGTTTTTTAGACTTAAACGTTGATTAAAAGAGGTAAAAATTCCTAATTTTTTAGACTTAAACGTTGATTAACACCATAGATTGAGAGTCTATATTTAGTAAAATTCCTAATTGTAATAAAAAAAATTACTTTTTGCTATATTTTAGAATATCTTTAAATTCATTATAAAAAAAAAAGAAAAAAAAAACTACAATGAAAAAAGCAAGTCAGCTATATATCGATTTGTTGTACTCCTCAAAATCACATTCACAATTTGGCTACAAGGAAAAGAAACTCATTGATTAAAATATTATTTTGTCAGTAGTCTTAATGTACAAGAGACTTTAAGACTCCACTTGAATATTATAAAACTTTTATTGAACAGTGTACAATTTTCTTGGGTATTATAAACTTTTATTGAATATTGCATCTTATAATATAATATTCTCCAAATAAATATATCCCGTGCTTCGCACGGGTCACGTACTATATATATCCCGTACATTTTTCTTTATTCATGTATATAATTATAAGCCTGGATAAATAGCCTTAAAATTGTGCACCCCGTGCATCGCACGGGCTCTGTACTAGTGCATAATTAAGAGAAGAATTCGAAATAAAAATTACTCAGAATTTTAAGGATATCACATACTTTTTTTTTTAATAATTTACCACATTTTTATGATTAAAAAAGAGTCATATTGAGAATGTGGATCTTTTGGGATAACTGGAGAATTTTTTTGGCAATAAACAATTGTGAAAAATAAGATTTCTGACTTAAGGATAATGATTTCTAATTGAACAAAAATGATATCTAAATTCATGGAGCAACGGATAAAAATGGCGAATTCTTTTAAAAAAATTTATATATCATTTTATTAGTTAAATACGGACAAACAAATATTAATCACTTTGGGATTCTCTACAAACTTTAAAAATGTTGTTTAATTAGATAAATATGGAGCTGAGGGCCTGAATCGCACCTTCCTGTTTCGTCTAGTGGTGTTAGACGACGGGAATCTGGTGTTCCGAAGCTCGGCTAGTGGTGTTAGGCGTGCTCGGAAGGTGCTAGTGTGGGTGCGTTTTTGGTTGTCCTCCAGTTGAGGCGGGTCGTATTGGAGTGTGGTTTGTGTTTGGGCTCGACTTCTTGTATAGGCCTTGTGGCAGTTTCGGGAGCCGTCCCTGGACTTGGATTATCCTCTGATATCGACCGTTCTCCGCTGGTTCGAGCTGGTTGACTTGCTGTGGAAGGGCTTCTCTTATTTAGCTGTGTTTTTCCTTCTTCTGTTTTGTAGTAGATTGGTTTGTTGTTATTGTTTAGTGTGTTGGTATCTGTGTTTGTGTTTGTCGTTGTGTTTTAGGTTTGGGCCGTTGGCCTCTGTGCACCCGAGTGTCATTTTCGTTACTCTGTGGGGGTCCGACACTCGGGAATTACCCTGTGGGGGTCTTGTGTTGTTGTTTTTTGTTGTTTTGTGTTTTATTTTTATTTTTTTTNAAAAAAATATGG